CAGTGTGTATGCTGCTTTGGCTGCCCACTAGCCAAGGAAGGACCCAGACTCCACACTCCAGGGAGGGGGGCCTGCAGGAACCCCAGAAGGCACAGGAGCTGCCCCCTAAGGACACTCAGCTAGTGACCCCAGTCAGCCTGGAGACCTGACATGGACCCACAGCAGTTTCAACTGATTTTGCAGTTGAAGATAAATGGCATCCAAACATTTTGTAGTCAAAGCAATAGCCTTATCAATAATCAGTGTGTTAACTGATTATTGAGAGGAAGTGAGAGAATGTTTAAAATAATGATAACATAAATATTATACACCAAGCATATAAAAGAAGAAAATTAAGAAGCATGAGCAAATATGTTAGAAAATAAAAGCCTAAAGTAAATGACCTAATTTATTTTATCAAGTACTATAGAATTGTACACCTGAAACCTGCATAAATTTTATGAACAAATGTCATGCCAATAAATTCAATAAAGAATTTAGAGAAAGAATAGCAAATTACTATAAGTGGCAGTAGAAGGAGGGACATAATAATGAATGGATACTAATGAAGATGAACAGAAATAGACAAAAGGCAACAAAACCAAAAGACTTCGTTCTGAAAACATCGATCACACTTACAAAGTCTACTACAATGGCCATGGGACAAAGAGAGAAGACACTCGTCACCTCTATCAGGACAGCATTATAGGTCTTACAGACTTTAAATAGATAACAAACAGAACACTATAAACAATTTGATACCAAGATATTAAAATATGCAATTAAAATAGACCCCTTCCACTGGACAATTTATTAGACATAAGGGTTAATAGAAATTTTGTATCACCTTATGTGTACATTAAATACATTGGCTTTGTAATGAGAAACTGTCTTACAACTGAACACTGTGGAATAGAAAAAACTCAAAATGATAGAAACAAAGAGTAGAGTGTGAGTTACCAGCAGTGGAGGGAAGGAGAAACGGGCAGGTATTGGTTAAAAGGTACAAACTTCCAGCTAAAAGACTGACAAATTCCAGGGCTGTAATGTACAACATGGTGACTGTAGCTACTAACACCGTATCATATTTTTTAGTGTTGCTACAAGAGTAGATCACAAACGGTTGTCACCACAAAAAGAAATGGCAACTCTGTAACAGGAAGGAGGTGTTAGCTAATGCTACTGTGGTCATCATTTTGCAACATATAAATGTTTCAGTTCAGGAGGCTTCATTGGGGATTTCTTCCCAGTGCTTCTGCATTTATAACACACAAACACATTCACACACCACAAAGTTACACAAACATTTCCTGACAGCAGAAAAAGAAGAAGCACACCCCAACACATTCTGTCACCCTGGAAAATATTGACTCCAAAATCTGACAAGGAGATTACAAAATGGAAAAGCACAGGGAGAATATTCTCGTGAACTTAGATGAAGACCACTAAAATTATTCACAAATAAGATTCAGCAATAGATATATATTTTAATAAAAAACAATATATCATGACTAACTTGGGTTTTCTGTTTTTTGGGTTTTTTGGGGAGAGTAGAGAAGCTTGAAATAATTTGAAAATAATCACAATGTAATATACAGATGATGGATCATAAAATTGTACACCTGAAATCCATATAATCTTATCAACCAATGTCACTCCAATAAATTTAATTTAAAAATCAATATAATCCAACCCATTATGGGAACAAGTAAAAAATTCTCACCTCAACAGAGGCAGAGAAAGCCTTTGATAAAACGAACCAACAATTCACAGTGAAAACACAAATTCATCAGCAATAAAAGGGGATTTCTTATTTTATCAAGGCATGTTTAACAATCAACACTAGACATCTTTCTTAAAGTTAAAGCCTTGAACTCCTGCTCTCTATACCTGGGAATGATCCCAGTACTGTCCTTATGACCTCTTCTATTTAACAGAGCCCTGGAGGTACCAACCAACTAAATAAAATGAAATTATAAACATGGAGTAGATAGGTCTGATAATGCATCACTCAGAGATTAAACAGTGGTTTGCATATAACATTCAAAGTAATATGAAGATGTATTACTCAAATTAAACAGGACTTTTCCAGTATCACTGGATACATGTCCAGTCCATAGCAATCAATTGCACTTCTGATTTCTGGTTCTGGACCAAGATAAATTAGGTAAATATCTCCTTATTCTTTGACTTTACACCAGAGACTCTGACTTTTGACTTTTCACCCCCAGAATTGTAAGATAATAAATTTGTATTGTTTCAAGCCACAAAGTTTGTGGTGATTTGTGACAGCAAATAAATTCAGCCACTTACATTTTCTTTTGATACGTGTTTGCATGGTACAAACATCTTTCTTTAGCATTTTTCTCTTCTGTCAATGTAGAAAGATACACATAATACAAAATGTACCTTTTGGCCGCTATTCAAGTGTACAGCTCAGTGGTGTTAAGTAATACGCCATGTTAGGCAACGGTCCACACTGTTTATTTTCAGAACCTTTGCATCGTCTCAAACAGAAACTGGTACCCAATCAACACTAATTCTCGAGCCCCCTCATAACCACCTGTGGGTAGTGTCTATGCTGTGTGCTGCCTCTAGGAGTCTGCTGATTCTGTGCAGTTCGTATAAATGGAATCTTACAACAGGTGGCCTTTTGTGTCTGGATTATTTCCCTTAGCACAACATTTTCAAGGTTTAGCCAAGTTGCTCATTCTTTTACTTGTTTTACAATATATTTTTAAAAGTTTTATTTCTTTATTTTTAGAGAGAGGGGAAGGGAGGGAAGAAGAGAGGGAGGGAAACATCAATGTGGTTGCCTCTTGAGTGCCTCCTACTGGGGATCTGGCCCACAACCCAGGCAGGTGCCCTGACTGGGAATCAAACTGGTGACCCTTGGGTTCCCAGGCTGGCACTCAATCCACTGAGCTACACCAGTCAGGTCTGTCCTCTTACTTTTAACCTTTTTACATCATTGTATTTCAAGGGAATTTCTTATAGACTACATATAGTAAGGTCTTGTTTGATATTTCAAATCAACCAGTCTGACAATCTGTGTCTTTTAATTATTGTATTTAGACCCTTTAGAGATAATGTAATCACTTATAAGATTACTATTTAGGTTTTTATTTTATTTGTTTTAGTTTTCTATTTGTCCCTTTATTATTTGTTCATCTTTTTCTTTCTCTTCCCTTTCCTTGGCTTTAGAGAATGTTTTCAGTATTCCATTTTAATTTCTCTGTAGGTGTGTTATCTATACATCTTTCAATGCTCCTTAAGTGGCTGTTCTCCATATTCTCACACATCACCAACTCAACCCAGCCTAGTGAGGTTTAGTAAGTTTCCACTTGCAGGGACATGTAGGAACCATATAAACATGTAGCTCACCTACTTACATTGTCATTGTTGTATGCATTATATCTACAAACACTTCCAGGGCTCTGTCCGAGCTCAGGGGACCTTCTACAGGCAGGTGATCCTCCCCCGGACCTTTTGCTTCAGCCCAATAACCCTGCTTGGCAGCTGGGGAGGGGGCAGCAGGTCTGGGCTGGTGGAGATGGGTCAGGGAGGGGCCTTGAAGTGGCAGATGAGGAAGCTGAAGACAAGAAGGGCACCCCAGACACTTCAGGTCCGATTCCTTTCCAAGGGTCCTCCCCCAAACCCTCCATCTGGACTGACACTCAGAGGAGCCCTGTGACTGAGAGGAGCCCTGTGAGCTCCTGGAGTCGGGGGGCCTCTGCAGGCTAATGTCTCTACAGTTTGTGCCAAGAGAGGGGCTTTGGACACAGTGCTGCGAAGCCCCCACAGGACTGCAGTAGCAAGACCCATTTCCCTGTGGAATCCACAAAGCCACACGCTGTAGGATGGCAGGAGGGTGTGTGCCACAGCTCCAAGGGCTACTCAGAGAAAAGTGAGCCCCTACCTCTGGTGGTGACAGGTCACAAAGAAAGGAGCCAGGACCCCCTTCCCACTGTGGATTCCTCCTCACAGCAAAAGGGAACAGAGTGTGGCCCCAGGGGGACCTGGCCCCTCAAAGTCCACACCTGGGTGCATGTGGGATAGTGGTTACCCCTTTAACATCAGGATATTCATTTATTTTCAGTTTCTTGTCCATACTCCTATCTAGACTACCAACTGAATGAATAACTGTAACTTACAGTTAGTGGGGTAACACTTGCTCTTAGAAAGATTGCATGGTGCATTGTAGGTATTCCATCACCTCTTTTATTTTTATTTGTTTGCATTTCCTTTTTTCTTTTTAATTTTTTTATTGTTGTTCAATTACAGTTGTCCTCATCCCCTCACCCCCGCCCCAAGACTCTCCCCTGCCCTACATACCCACCACATTCCATCATGTTTTCTAAATTTAACAGATTGCAGTGGCTGGTTTGGCTCCATGGATTGAGTGCTGGCCAGGGAACCAAAGGGTCGTCGGTTCAATTCCCAGTCAGGACACATTGCCTGGGTTGTGGGCCAGGTCCTCAGTGAAGGGCACACACAAGACAATGACACATTGATGTTTCTCTTCCTCTCTTTCTCCACTATCCACCTTGACTATGGAGTCACACACTTTGATGTGCTCATATTTCAACCCACACATCTCCATCGGATCTAGAAACCAATGAGGACTGATCCATCCCAGGACCCAGGGACAGTCACACCACAGCCATTCTGAGGAGTGAGGTTCATAACAACATGTTTCCCTTGGGAAAACTGAGACTCAGAGATTGAATATTATCACTTGATAACACATAGGAAGTGGATGATGACGGAGCATTTAAACAAGAACGAGCTTTGTCAGCAACTTTAGAGCACTAACCCACTCGTTGTCCCCAAAAGCAGAAGACCTGAGGGTAGGACCACAGGATGAGGGGACAGCTCATGCCCAGAGAAAAGGGCTCTGAGGAGGCAGGAATGACTCAGACTTTTCCCTGGAAGGTGTGGGTGGACACTCTAAAAAAAAAAAAAAAGGAGAAGTTCATGAGGTGGCTGTTCTAGAATGAAAACTGCACTCCGGAGCCAGAGCAAGGGATGTGTTTGCTTCCTTATTTCCCTGCGTTTCTCCTTTGAGCTCATTGTCACAGTGACACTCGCCTGAACTGCACAGTGAGGAGAAGACGGTGTCTCTGCTGAGCTGAGCTCTGCAGGCACAGGGACCCCCGTCTTCCTGAAGCGTCTCCAGGGCCTGGGTGACCACAGTCCATGGGGAGGACCTGGGCAGGTGACTGGGCAGAGGGTGAAGGGACCCGGTGGGGGAGGCCCTGACCTAGAAGGACGGCCTTCGGTTCCCTCACCTGCTAGGGGAGTCTCAGGAGGCTCAGGATCTATTTCCTGTTACATCATGGGAATGCGAGTCAAGCTCCTGGGAAGACGATGTTCCTGGGAAGACAGAGCCCCTTTCTGAGGGGCTGCTGGTGCACTGCACTGCAACAGGGACCGTCAGCCTCCCAGTGACAACACGCTGAGTGTCTGTCCAACCTGAGGACTCCATGGTCTCTTCCTTCTGCACAGCTGGGTTCAGAGAGGAGACACCATGCCCTCCACCCTCACGGCCTTGCTCTGCCTCGGTGAGATGTGAGGGGGAGGGGAAGCTCTGTTCTGTCAGGACCCCAGGACTCAGGAGGCTTCTGGGGAGGAGGGTTCTGCTCAGAACTCAGGGCAAATCTCTCACAGGGACTCTCTTGCAGGACTGAGTGTGGGCCTAAGGACCCCAGTGCAGGCAGGTGAGTCTGTCTCCGGGAGTACCAGGTTTCACCTTGTCATTGAGAACAAGGGGGCTCTGTCCCATCATCTAAAAAAGGAGAAAATCAGTCTTGGCTGTGTGGCTCAGTGGTTGGGCATCATTCTTTATGAAAGTAAAAAGTTGTAGACTCAATTGCCAGTCACAACCCATACATGAGCCACCCAGTGCTTCTCTCTCGTATTAATCTTTTGCGTGTGCACTCTCTTGCTCTCTCTCTCTCCTCTTCCCTTCTTCTCTCTCTAAAAGCAGTGAAAAAAATGTCCCTTCAAAGTTTAAAAAGCAGAAAAATAGATCTGGGCTGACAGATGGGAGACATCAGGGAAGGTCCTGGGACTGAGATCGGAACACTGGGGGTGGAAATGTCTTGCTACCCAGGTTCTGATTCCTTCCAGGGACCCTCCCCAAACCCACCCTCTGGGCTGAGCCAGGCACTGTGATCCCCTGGGGGAGCTCAGTGACCATCTTGTGTCAGGGGGCTCTACAAGCTGAGGAGTACCATTTGTACAAAGATGAAATTTCAGAGCCCTGGTTCAAACAGAAGACACTGGATCCCAGGAACAAGACCAAGTTCTCCATCACACAGATGACAGCACGTACTGCAGGGAGATATCAGTGTTACTATCTCAGCCAAGGTGTCTGGTCAGAGCACAGTGACCCCCTGGAGCTGGTGGTGACAGGTGAGGGCACACCAAGGTCCCAGCTTCAGGTTCTGCCTTCAGGAAGGGGGATGCTCTCTAGGCATCTCCCCCTCACAGCCCAACCCTTGGGGACGTGAGGGAGATGCGAGCCCCATTTAACATGCTGCCTCTTTCTCCCCTAGGAGCCTACAGCAAACCCAGGCGCTCAGCCCTGCCCAGCGCTGTTGTGACCTCAGGAGATACCGTCATCCTCCAGTGTGGCTCACGGCAGGGATTTGAGAGGTTCATTCTGACTAAGGAAGGAGAAGACAGGCTCTCCTGGACCCTGGACTCACAGCCTCACCCCAGTGGGCAGTTCCAGGCCCTGTTCTTCATGGGTCCTGTGACCCCCAGCCACAAGTGGATGTTCAGATGCTATGGATATAGCAGGAACACACCCCAAGTGTGGTCACAGCCCAGTGACCCCCTGGAGCTCCTGGCCTCAGGTGAGGGACTCCTGGCCCTGTCCTCTCTGTGCTCCCTCACCTCAGGGCACTGTCCCTTGGAAAGTCAGGGACAGAAATAAATGAGGAGTGCAGGAGGCTCCACAGAGGGGGGTAGAGCCCTTGACAGGTGGAAAAAGACAGGGCCTCCCACCTGTGTGCCCTCTGTTCTGAATCTCAACAGAAAGAGCCGGAGGGTAGAGTGAGATTTGTGAGAAGTGAAGAGAAAGGTGGTTAGACTGAGCAGAGGACAGATCCCTTCCCCCACTCACCCCCTGTATCTTCATCTCAGAGTCTGAGCCCCTGCCCCTCCCCCTTGCCCCACTAGACCCTCTCCCAGAGAGAGCAGCTTCATCTCCCCTGGGTGTCCAGCTCTCCAGGCCCCTGGGCTCACCTGAACCACCAGCACTCAGTGCTCACCTGACAGTGAGGAGGGGCTGTGCCAGGCTCAGGAGGAGCTGGGGGCTCCCACCCATGCTGAGGGTCTCCTGTCTGCTCCATGGTTCTGGGGGCCCTTATCTGTTCCTGCTCCTTTCTGAAGACTTTTACACAATACTTGCATGTATAAATTTAAATTATAAATATTTCTGCCTTCAAAAAGCAAATTCTATACCTATTTAACTGTGTTAAATTTGCCCATTTATTATGAAAACATCCATTTATTATTAAGAGGTTTTTAAAACATGCATTAAAAGGTGTATTTTCTACTTCAGATGCAGTTTGAAGTTTTAGTCATAAAATTATCTATACTCAGAGCTCAAGAATTGTTTGAGTACCCCATATACATCTGTGTATATAGATGAGACCCACCCATGGACCCTGAGTCCTCAGCTGCTGAACAAATATACACTCTCAGCTCCGGAAGAGTGAGCTTGGATGGTTCAATCTCCCACAGAGAGCAAAGACACTACAAGGACATCCTACGTTCTGTAATGAAAGACCACATTTCTCACCAAACCTGAATTCTTGGGGCAAAGACAACCTATGTCCCAAAGGGCCTCAGGAGCAAAGTCTGCACTCAGAAGTCCCCAGGAAACTGACAGGGCCCATGATAGCAGACAGGACCCCCATTCCAGAGAAAGGGTTTGAGAAGGGGCTGGAAATGGTCACATCATGAGGAACGGGAGAGTTTTGAAAATTGTTGGCTTGAGTGGCATCAACTCCTCATGTGCCCACTTCTTTATGGTTTTCAAGGAGCAGCCAACACCATCAGCCCATCACACAATAGCTCAGATGACAAGAGCAGTGAATAGGAGAGTCCTCAGTTGTGGGGCTGGGTGCAAAGGGTTCCATCTCTCAGGGGAAGACAGGTGGGCTGTGTGAGCATCCAGGATGCAGGGGTGACTTTGTCTGCTGTGACCTCTGTGACCTCTTTCTCCATATTTCCTAGACTCCCACCCCCAAGACTACACAGTGGAGAATCTCATCTGCATGGGTGTGACTGGCTTGGTCCTGGTGATCCTCGGGGTGCTGTTGTTTCAGGCTCGAGACAGCGAGAGAATGGCACAGGCTGCAGCCAGGACATGAACACAGAGGGGACAGGGCACTGTTCAGAAAGAGGGGAGCTGTGGAGCCCATCTGATGACCCAGGAGGTGGGGAAGGACAGTCTAACCACAGGCGGGAAACTGTCTGCTGATGTATCCAGGGGAGTAGAGGTGGCAGATGAGGTTTGGGGACAGGAAACGTGAGCCGTGTTCCTGTGGAGATGCCTCCTACATCCCACTGTGGGGCTGTCCCTCCTCATCCTCACTGACTCCCCTTGACTGTCCTTCTGTTCTCACCCCTGTGACCTGAGGGGCTGCCCCACATGGCTGGTTTGGGTTCACATCTACACACCCCTTCATGCTGGATCCCACTCATATAAACAAATGTGGTGTCTTCATTACATGGGAGGGTTTTATAAGCCATAAAAACAAAGTACCAATACCAGCAACAGAGTGAATGAATGTCAACATTCTGCAGCTAAGTGACAGAAGCCAGAGAGAAAAGATCACATTTTCTGTGACTGCATTTGTATGAAGTGTCCAGGAGGAGGAAACCCACAGAGACAGGAGTCAGGTGGGCTTGTTGGTGGCTGACAAAGAGGGAGAGATGAGAGATTCTGCAGGTATTTGGGGGTGGGGTTATGCAATGTTGTTATTAAAACCAGATAAAATTGTGGTTTAGACATTGTAAATTTACTACATTCCAGTGAATTCTATATTTTAAAATGCTAACTCCTATGTCACAGGAACTCATGTCATTAAAAGAAATGTAACTAAATTGCCATGGTTCCCTGTGGATCCTTATTACCATAGAAGTGGCCCCATATCCCCAGGGCAGAATCATGGGAGGCGGGACTCCCAGCAGGTCCAAAATGCCCTCAGTGCCCAGTGCTCAGGCTCAACCCCTGGTGGGATTCCCACCCTCACTCCTGAATGTGGTGAGTCCAGGATCCAGGACAAGCAGAGTTCTTCCTGTCTCCCCTCAGTCTGGACTCACCTGCCATCAACCAAGGATGCCCTGTAGCTTCTGATGTCCCCGGAGGGCTTGGGGGATATATATGTGGCTGCCAAGTAACCCTTCCTCCCTCAAGTCTCTTAAGCTCGTGTCTTAATCAGGCCCAGAAATGACACAGATGGATCCTCTTTATGTCTCAGGCTCCGCTGATCCTCACAACACCAATGAGAGCTGAGCTTCTACCCTTGTCTGCAGTGAGGGAAAAGAGAGAGGGGAAGGGACTGGCTCAGAACAGACTTTCAATAATGTTTCCCCTTGTCTCACATTAAAACCTGTGAATTATGTGCAACTACTGTTTCTGCCCAGCACATGGAGATGGAGTGACCAGTGTCAAATGAAAGGTCACCCCTCACAGAGCAGGGCAGTGAGGAGACAGACATGCTCAGGGGCCTGGATGGGAGGGATGGAGAGAAGCTCTCCTGCTCACAGAGATGAGGAAGTCAGAGAGAGGAAGTGTGAGGGAGAGACCAAACCACACTCCCAGCCAGGAGAGTGGGTGGCTCTTGCAGTGGGTCAGGTGACCATGTTGTAATCCTCTCCCCACCCCGATGCCCCTCACTGGGGTGGTCAGTCTGGAGACAGCCCCACTGGCTCCCCAGGCCACACAGGTAGAGCACAGACATGCCCTCAGCTCTTCCCTCTCTTCCCCGACACGATGAACACACCCACAGCTCTGACCCTGAGACCTTTCTGCCACCCAGTTCCCCTCCACAGTCACACTCAGGTGAAGACCCAGGACATCATGGGGGTGTGACCCCATCAGCCTCCTCTCTGGCCTCACTGTGGACCCTCACTCCCACCTGAGGGTTTTAATCCCATGGACCTGAACTTACCTGTCATGGACCCTCCCTGCACAAAGCCTTTCTCCAGGTCTCCACCTCACTCCAGCACATCCAAGCAGCTCCACCTGCTGGTCCATGTTGTTGGACATGAGGCTGAGCTAACCTCTCCATCCCAAGCAGAAACAACTGGTCCCTACAAAGCAGACCCTTCCCAGTGCCCACCTCCCCTCCCCAGACTCACACACCTGGGTCATAGCCACACTGGGCTTGTCATGGGTGCCCCCTGAGCCAATCTGCTCAGAGCACACTCTGCACAACTCCTACACCAAGATAATGACGAAGAAATGTTCCCACCTCTTCTCACTCAGCTTCAATCATACTTGTGTTATGGGATTTCTGTTTGGATATCATGAGAAATTCTCATAAACCACAGAGAGTACTGAGCAGCTCATCACCTCTGTATTAGATTAGGGCAGGAGTTTTATCACAGTTCATCATCCATTCCTCACTACTACAGTCTTTTGCCACAGAGCAGTATCTTCTCAAAACAGCAACCTGTTCACACGTTCCTTTACTGAAAAGTGTTCCATTACCTGAAAGATCAAACCCAGGAGTCCTTGCAGGGAGTAGAGGCCCCGGGGGACCAGGGCCCAGCACACTCTGTGACTCACAGCTCTCAGAAGAATCACTCTCTTCCTGGTCGAGGGTCCTCTGATCTCCCCTGTGCTGACCCCTAGTGTATCCTTGTCCCTCCCTCACCTGCAGGTCCCCACACTCCATGGTGTCCACCTGTATGCAGTCTCTGTGCTCCATTCTTCTCCTTCCCTGAAACTTACCAAAATGACCCCCACATCATCCATTGCCTACACATTTGTACTGTCTGATGTTGCTAACCAGCACTGCATGTGTCCAGGGGAAGGATCGGTCACCTTCCACAATGAACTTCGTGCCTGGACTAGGCACCTGCTGTGAAATATTGGCCGGTTTCTGGGATGGAGAAAGGCCAGAAGAAAGTTTGCATTTACATTGTCTCAGGAAAAGGAAGTGAATTGCCCACAGTTACGTGGGCTGTAAAACAGGCAGAGTCAGAAGTGTGACAGGAGCTGAGCAGCTCCTGAGTCCTGCCCAGAGACTTCTGCCCTCATGTTCCAGGACAGGGGTCACCCTCTGGACTTGGGCATCACATGAGGTGCAGGCAGCATGTGTGGGGTCTGCTGAGATTCAGATCTGGTCTGAAAGTTCCCAGATCCTGGTGTCTCCTCCACCACCTCTCAGGAGGGCAGGTTGCTGCTGCAGAGGAAACTGACTTGTGACACAGAGTCAGGATCTTGTCACATCCTGTGTGTCCATCTGTTCTGTGGGCTCTGTGGTCTTCATACTTCATCTGCATCACTGGGAGACGCGTCATGACCCTGACCCTCATTGTCCTTCTGGGCCTTGGTGAGTTCTGGAGAAAGAGAAGGGTGAGTCCCCTTCACTTCCAGGTTCCCTCCTCAAAGGGCCCCAGGACCCAGGAGACTCAGAGGGGGCAGAAATTCTAAGGCGAGAAGATATCAGTTCAGCAGGGGCCCAGACCAGACCTGGAGCTTCTGTGTGTAGGTGAAGGATAATCTCACAAGGACTCTCTTCCAGGGCTGTGTCGGGGCCCATGGGACCAGGTTCAGGCAGGTGAGTCCTCACCCAGACCTGCTTCAGCACAATGATGGGACAGCTGGGGGACACACAGTGGGCTTGAGCAGATGGTGACCAGAGTAGGAGGGGTCTTACAGTGACAATTGGGGAACAGAGGGGACAAGGACCCTCCTGACACTGCAGGTCTGATTCCTTTCCAGGACTTCCCCCCAAACCCTCCATCTGGGCTGACCCAGGCCCCAGGGTCAGAGAGGGGAGCCCTGTGACCATCTGGTGTCAGGGGTCTCTGCAGGCAGATAGCTACAGTCTGTATAAAGACAAGAGGTCTAAGCCCTTGGACACAAGCATCCCAGAGGCCTCCAGCAACAAGACCAGGTTCCTCATTCAGCCCATGGGCTCACACTATGCAGGACTGTACCAGTGTGCATATAGCACTGGGGGCATGCTGTCTGAGAGGAGTGAGCCCCTGCTCCTGGTGGTGACAGGTAAGGGGGAACCCAGGTCCCTTCCCCACTGCAGGCTCCTCCTCAGAGGATGAAGGGGACAGAGCGTGGCTTTAGGGGGGGCGCACCCCTCACAGCACACACCTGGGGAAGATGGGGTGACAGTCCCCTTTAACTCAGATCCTCCTTCTCCCTCAGGAGTGGACAACGCACCCTCCCTCTCAGCCCATCCAGGCCCAGTGGTGGCCTCAGGAGGGAACGTGTCTCTCTTGTGCAGCTCACAGTCCACATGGGACACTTTCCACCTGCTGAAGGAGGGAGGGGCTGAGCCACCCCAACACAGGAAATTGGAATGGAATTACTATGCTAAAAGGCAGCAGGCTATCTTCCCTGTGGGCCCTGTGAACACCTCCCATGGAGGGACCTACAGATGTTATGTTTCCTTCAGCTACAACCCCAATGTGTGGTCACAGCCCAGTGCCCCTCTGCACCTCGAGGTCACAGGTGAGGTGGCCCAAACTTGGCTTCAATTCTTTCCTGTGCCCCAAATAACTGATCTAAACTCCTTATCTGGTAATGTCCTTGGGATTGTGGGGGTCAGTGGCATGGGTTTACTGGGGACAGAACCACAGGCAGGAGACTTAGGGAGGGACAAGTCAAAACTCTTAATGCAACTCTAGTGGGCAGTCAGTGTGTGTGTCCCCTGGGTGACAATGACCTTCTCCCCAGGTATGTACAGGAAGCCCTCCCTCTCAGCCCAGCCAGGGCCCCTGGTGCTGCCTGGAGACAACCTGACCCTCCAGTGTCACTCAGAGCCTGGCTTTGACAGATTTGCTCTGACCAAGGACCAGGGGACCACACCCCAACAGTGTCTCCATGGGCAGCACAGCCCCGACTTCCCCCAGGGCCCTGTGAACCTCACCCATGGGGGCCAGTACAGGTGCTACAGTGGACAAAACCTCTCCTATGTGTGGTCATACCCCAGTGCCCCCCTGGACATCCTGATTGCAGGTGAGGAGCCCTGCCCTGCCCCCTGTCCTGACTGGTCTACTCAGGGCTCAACCCAGGGTCACCGTGGTGGTGATGGTGTCCAGATGAGGGTCATAGAGCAAAGGCTGAGGGGGGCTGAGGTCTAGGGGACGGAGGGATGGGATGGAGAAAAAATGCCCACCAGAGGGACAGAGAGAAGCTGACAGGAGTCACAGTGTCCCTGGGGAAGGACAGGGTTCCTCAACTCAGGGTCAAGTGCATGGGAGTAGCGGTGACTCTGCATATCACAGCCCTTCTCTCCCCAGGAATATACAAGAAACCCTCCCTCTCTGCCCATCCAGGGCCCTCAGTGCCCTGGGGAGAGAACGTGACCCTGCAGTGTTGCTCTGAGGTCAGGGCTGATACCTTCCACCTGCACAGGGAGGGGTCTCTGGATCCTCCCCAGCAGCTTCATCTCCAGGACACGGCTGCCCCCTCTCAGGCCAACTTCACCATCAGCCCTGTCACCTGGGGCCACCATGGAATTTACAGGTGCTACAGCTCACACAGCTCCTCCCCCTTCCAGCTGTCACAGCCCAGTGACCCCCTGGAACTCCTGGTCTCAGGTGAGGAGCCACAGCCCCACCCCTGTGTCCTCATGGTCAGTTCAGGACCCTGTCCCCCAGGGAACCTTTAAGATAGGGAGCAAGGGGGTTAGTGAAGGAAGGCCAGTCCAAGGGGACTCTTACCTCCCAGAGGGACAGAAAAGCCAGAGCCACCCCACCCCTGCTTTATGTCACCCTCATCCCTGAGGCCCAGGAAGGTCCCAGGGGCCCAGGGAGGCTAGAGAGGCTCTGGGTTCCGCAAAGGGAGGAAAGGCCAGGGGCACCCATCCCAATACCCCTCCTTCTCCCACAGACCAAGAGGCCAAGACAAGCATGGTCACAGGCAGAGGCTTTGCTCCCAGAGAGAACCAGGTCACCCACTCTGGAATGCCTGTCCTCTGGTGGGGTGTGGGGGTCAGGCAGTGATTCTGGGTGATCGTGGGTCCCCCAGGGCTATGAGTCAGGCAGGTGACATGTAGTTTGGTCATGGAAGAGAGAGATGCAGTTGTCCCAGACAGGGAAGGGGTAGGTGAGCTCAAATGAGGAGAAGGCCACCCCAAACCTTCACTCCCATCCTGAATTTCCAGAAGCCTCTGAGGATCTGCTCCTCACCCCCACGGACTCAGGCCCTCAGAGGGATAAGTGAGGGTCTCTGTGGGGAGGCAGTGGCTGTGTCCATGGGGACAGGGGCTGAGTCCTGTGCAAGTTCAGGCACTTCTGGAGGCTCTGACTTGGAAACACCCTTCCCCCTCTGTGCCTCAGTGTCTCCAAGTGTAAAAGGAGAGAATCATGGCCCAGAGCTTAGATTGCCTTTCAGTTCTGGCTCTGACCTCCTGGGAGGGGTCCTCACAGGGAAGCCACCGAGGACATGATGTTATGGGAACTGTCCACTCTGTAGCAGAGATAGTGACACTGTACAGGGAGGGACAGCCAGGACAAGAGTCAGGAGCATGGAGATCCTTTCCCTCAGCTCAGGTGTTCAGCTCAGAAGAGGGAACAAGGGCTGGAGTCAGTCCTGGTCCAGATCCCGGCTCTGCTGCTCTTGCTCAGGGGCTAGGTGGTCCCTTCTCTTCTCCAATTGTTGGGTTCATGTTTGTTTATCCCTGGTCCTCTCCTGCTCACAGGCCTGCAGTGACATTAGTGACATAAGGAATCTCACAGAACTTAAGAAGGCAGGGCCTGAGTCCAGGCCAACCTTCCCAAGGGGGCATCAGGGTTCACCCCATGCTTCTGTCCCTATGGTGTCCTGCTATGCCTGGGGGCAGGTAAAAAACAAGGACCCTCATCTTTGGGTAAGACAGGACAGGCCCTCTGCAGGTGAGGAACCCAGAGCTCAGAGCTGGTGACCACCTGGGGGCAGCATGAGGAAGCACAGGAAACCCAGGTCCCAGGGTACAATCCCAGCCCTGCCCTGGCCAGGCTGGGTGACCTGGGGCAGGTGCTAACCTCTCTGAGCTGCAGTGGACTGGGTGGTGGGTCAGTCATCCCTGGTGAATGGGGGCCATGAGGTTAGAGGACATAATCAACAGATCCCAGGACATGTCTCTCACACAGTAGATGCTCATTAAATGGCACCTTTGGTTCATTCATGATGTCGCTCCAGCCCAAGGTCTCCAATGGTACTGGAACGTGCTGACTGGGATCTCAGTGGCTCTTGTCCTGCTGCTCTTCCTCCTCCTCTTCCTCTTCCTCCGACACTGGCATCAGAGCAAAGGCAGGACATTAGGTAAGTAGGGAAGGGGGTGACCTGGGTCACAGGAAAGAGAGGCTCAGAGCACCTGCTGCAGGAAAAACAGATGGGGGAGGTCAGCTGAGCAACAGATTTCTCCAGAATCTCACATCAGAAATTCTAGAAAGTAAACACTCAATGTTAGAACTTGTGTACAAATTTGAAGTAATCTTTCATCGTCTCCAGTCTCCTTAGATATGAAACATTCACACATGTGTGTTAAAGTTTCCTTCTTTCCTCCTGAATAAAACAGGAGGTGTCCTTACTCTCCCAGAACTGAGACTGTCTGTCCTCCAGCCCAGCTGCAGACACCCAGCTGCAGACACCCAGGAAGAGTCCCTGTGTGAGAGGAAGGGACAGCTGCTCTCAGGGGTGGTCACAGGGAGTTCAGGAGGGAATGGAGAAGGAGAGACTGGAAGAGTGTACAGTCAGGGGTGAGAGGGACTGAAATCCATAGAGTGACCTGGCCCCTCACCTCAGCCTGGATTAGTGGCCCATCTGGGAGCAGGCAGGTCTGCAGCCCTGAGATCTCAGGGATTCTGCCAGGAGACACCCTGTTCTTCCTCTCCAGATGCTGCTGTGAAGGACCCTCATCCTGGGGAGGGCATGGAGCTGGACCCTCAGGTGAGACCCCTGCTCTTTTCCAGGACACTAAGGACCTTCCTGTTGCCCAGTTCACTCCAGTGGTCACTCCCTGTCTTCACCTCCCCTGTATCTCAGCAGCACCCACACTGACCTGTCCTTCTGGGCACCAAGTTGCTCTGCTGTTACTCATTCCTCCTGCTTTCCTGTGTCCTCATGACCCCTCCTGGGTGATCCCCTGTGCTGGCCCCTCATCCTCTGTCTGACCTTGTACAGCCTCAGATCTCAGGAGGAGGCATGAATGACTGAATCACCCGCAGATCCCAGGGTCCCATCACTCAGTCACACAGCAGCAGTGACAGGAGTTCACTGGTTACAGACTCCTTGTCTGTGCCATAGTGCAGCCCTGAGCAGCCTGTCCCCACCCTCCTCCAGCTCCCCTGTCGGTGAGGGAGACACCTGCAAATAGGGAGATGATGTCCTGGAAAGCCAAGTGTTGCGAAGGAGAATGAAGCAAGAGCAGTGGGGGGAGTGTGTGGTGAGGGGAGAACAGAGAAAACAGCAGGTGCAAAGGTCCTGAGGCAGGACCTGCTGCTTCAGCCAGATGAGCCCTGTGGCTGGAGCTAAATCAGCAAGAGACAGAGCATTAGGTTAAGAGCAGATCCATAGGCACCAGGAGTCCCAAGGCTCAGAGAGTCCCTGCAGACTCCACCAGGAGAGTGACCTCATCTGATCTGAAGTTTAAGTCATCACTCTGACACCATGTGGACACGTGACGGAGGGCTTCAACTGTGGGGTCAAGGACACGCTGGTTCTGTCTCACTGTTTCTCTGCAGCAGAACACAACCCATGATGACCCCCAGGGAGAGACCTATGCCCAGGTGACCCTCTCACCATCAAAGCTCAGGCAGGGAATGGCCTTCTCACCTTCCCTCCTGTCAGAGGAATTGCTGGACATGAAGGACAGGCAAGCAGAAGAGGACAGACAGATGGACAGTCAGGTGGGGCCTGTCCTCCCCAGACCCAGGCTTCTCCAGCCCCAACCACCTTTCACCCCTCTCACTGTCCCCCTGCTCCAGGCTGCTGCCTCTACTGCCCCCGAGGATGTGACCTATGCCCAGCTGACGCACTTGACCCTCAGACGGCAGACAAGGGCACCCCCTTCCTGCCCGTCAGAGGAGCCCCCAGATGAGCCCAGTGTGTATGCTGCTCTGGCCATCCACTAGCCCATGGAGGACCCAGACCCCACATTCCAGAGAGGAAGCTTTCAGGGACCCTGGAAGGAACAGGAGCTGTCTCCAAGGACACTCACTAGTGGCCCCAGCCAGCCTGGGGACCTCACATGGACCCCCAGCACCTCTGGGACCATCTGGGAGTCCCCTGATTCTGCAATTAGAAATAACTAATATCCCTACACTTTGGAATCCAAGCAACAGACTTCTCAAGAATCAACGTGTGAATTTAGAACCAAAATGGAAGTGAGAGAATACTTTCAATGAATGATAGTATAAATACTACACATTAAACCTACAAAATAGAACATTAACAACCATGAATGAACATCTTAGAGAAGATACCACCTAAGTGTCCTCCCACACATGCTGAGATGAAGGTGTGGCAACCTGTGTGATGGAGTGACACTTGGCCACAGAGATGAAATCCTGTCAGTTCAGCAACACAGAGGCATCATGAGTATGTCATGCTACGTAGGGTAAGTCAGACCCCACAGCACAAGGACCATACAACTTCACTCGTACATGGGTGAAATGTGAAACTCTTCACTGTCATATGTATTAACTATATGGAACTTGTAATTAAAAATTTTCCTGCAATGTGAACTCGAAGTCTGAAAAGCTTCATTGGTAAATGCTTCTGAACACATATGCATGTATGAAATACACACACATGGACACAGACACAAACATGCACACAACAGCCTTACACGTGTTTCTCCTGACAACAGAGAAGAAAGACACATCCCACAACAGAGTTTATCAGCCCAGAAATAAATTGATGATGAAACCAAACAAGAGAGCTACCAAGAGGGGACTCCACAGGAAGCTCTCTCACGTGAACTCAGGTGCAGAGTCCTAAACAAAGTATCACCAAGATGCACCAAGGCATAAGCTGTGTCATCCATCCTGACCAGGCAGGTATGTGATTTCAGGAATGCGGGTTGGTTTCACATTTTTAAAAAATCAATCAGTAGAATTCAAACATTAAAACTAATAGCAAAAAAAAATGTAAAAAGAAATATCAACAGATGTAAAACTTTTGTTGAAATACAGCACGAATTTATAGTGAAAAACTCTTCAGAAATAAGAGATTTTGTATAATTTATCAAAGCACCTTTCAAAAACCTTTATAAAGGAAATAATGCTTAAAGGTAAAAACTTGAAAACATTTTGCCTGTAATTGAGCCTGGGACAAACACTGTCACTGTGGAACTGAGCCTGCCCACAGCCTCACCACGCCAAACGCCTGCACATTTTGCCAGCCCGGCCCTTTGCCCAGGTTTTGTGGGTGGAGAAGGAGCCACTCTGCTAGGGAGAAGTGACACCCCCACCCCCACTACCTTCCTCTTCCGGTCAGAGGAGCCCAGCCATCCCTGGGCCCCGCCCAGCCACAGGCCCCGCTCAGCAGCCATCACTCAGAGCAGTTTGCTCCCGCACAGCCCCAGCTGTGGGTCAGGTCCCACTCCCACACCTGCCCTCGCACCTGTACCTCCAGCGTCCACCACAGCATCTTCTGATCCTGCACCTGCTGGTGCAACCAAGCAGGAGAACCCAGCAGAAGAGCCAGTGGGAACTCCCATCAACGATCGGACATCCAGACATTCTTCCCCATCAAAACTTTTTGAAGATGTGACAAGTGCGCTTGTGACAGGTCAGTCCTCTGAGAATATGATCACTGAGGTCATGTCGATGGGCTGTGAATCAGGGCAAGTGATGCCAGCCTGGGGAGCCAGGGTCAAAGACCCAGACACTCAAGCGGTATCTTTTAAGGGAACTCCAGAGACAGAGAAAGTCAGGCTGTGCTTGCTCCCTCTCCAGCAGCTAGTTCTGGGGCTCCTCAGCCCAGGGCCCTGTCCCTCTAGAGTCTGAGGCAGTAATAAATGAGGGACCAGGGCATTTCCACGGACAGGACACTCAGAAGCCCCTGACACCAGCCCCTCACCCATGCACCCTGGGTCCCCAACTGTTGAGTTCCTGGGATCCCTCAGCTGTAGGAGAACAAGCTCATGAGTTCTGTGCCTCCCACTAAACGCAGAACACACACCTCTTACTTATTTCTGGGTGGAGACTGTTTTCATCCCTCATCCTGAACTCTCAGGTACAGCTCCTATAGAAGTGACTCAGAACAAGCTCTGAATCCAGATGCCAGCAGGCTGAGATGATCCAAGGAGGAGACAGGGACCTGGCAGAATCTAGTCCTGGCTCATGACATGATTGTGTGAGTTACAGTCTGAAAAGAGGGGCATTGGGGAGCACAGACCCCAGGAGGGAGGCTCATGTCTCCCCAAGTCCTCACTCACACCCTCATGTCATGATCCTCAGGGGCAGCCGACACCATCAGCCCATCACAAAACAAGTCAGACCCCAGGAGTGGGGAGTGGGAGAAACTCTCAGTTGTGAGGCTGGGTGCAGAGCGTTATGTCCTGGAGAGGGAGGCAGGTGTCCTGGGTGGACATTCTGGCTCCTGGGGTGACTTTAGTCTGCCTAACCATGGTGACACCTTTGCCCACATTTCTCAGCCTCACACCCCCAGTGCTACACCATGGAAAATCTCATCCACATGGGCATGCCTGGATTGGTCCTGGTGGTCCTCGGAGTGCTGATCTTTCAGGCTTGAAGACAGCAAAATGAGGACCCACACTGCAGCGAGGTCATGAACACAGAGGGGACAGGGCACCGTTCAGAATGGGGGAAGCTGTGGAGCCCATCTGACGACCCAGGAGGTGGTGAAGGACAGTCTGGACCACAGGTGGGGAAACTGTCTGCTGATGTGTCCAGGGCAGTGAACAAGCTTTGGGTGCAGGGAGTGTCTCAGTGCTCCCTGTGCAGGGCTCTTCCTCCATTAAATGTCTGTTTCTCTCTTTATCTTTGCCAACTGTCTGTAATGACCCCCTACTTCTCTCACCCCTGTGGCATGAGGGTCTTTCCCACATGCTTGTTGGGGTCCACACATGCCCTCTTCTACTTTTATGTAATCAAGTGTTCTTTATTTGTCATCACTACATGACCCTATGGACATTATTGAGTCTTCATCTCCTCAGTTCACAGGAGTTATCCAGGTATCAATCAATTGAAAAATGGGCTAAATTAGATATGACCCTGGAAACATGAGTACAGACTGATGTCACCCCCTCACCAACCCCACCATCCTTCCCATCTGCATCAGATGCCACATGAACCATTTCCCCAGAACTGCCGTCACCTGGTGTTTGAAGAGACAGCCTCATGGAGGGCTGCCTCTGAAAATAACCATTTTTCACAATGATTATATACATATACGTATACATACTTATACATAATGGAATATTATTCGACCACGAGAAAGAACAAAATGGGAGCAGAGCCATGGACACCTGGAGAAGACAGACAGCAGGTAGAGGGGAGGGAGGAGGGGCCGGACGGAGGTAGGTGAAGGGATTAGACAAAGCACATACATGCATGAGCCACAGACACAGACAGCAGTGTGGCGAGGGCCAGAGGAGAGGGATGTGGGGCTCCGTGGAGCTGGATAAGTGTGAGGCACTGGAATGGAAACATCTACAATAGTGTCACCAATAAAAATAAAGAGAACAATCCTGCCACTTGAGACAACATGAATGGATCTTGAGGGCATGGTGTTAACCCAGCCAGATCACTGAGAGAGAGATCAATACTGCAGGATCTCATGTGCATGTGGAATCTATAGCAGCTGAATGTGTAGAAACAGAGGGCGGAATGGTGGTGACCACGGGGAGCCAGGGGAAAGGAGAGGAGTTGGTCAAAGAGCACCAACTTTCCATTATGCGATTAGCACGTCCTGGGACCTCACATACAGCCTGGTGAGTACAGTTAACCAGACTGTGTCATACACTGGAAAGAGTGTATCTGAAATGTTTTCACCACAAAAAGTAAGTGGCAGTGACATGACTTCTTGATTCTATTGTTACCTAAAGCTGAGGTGGTATCATCATGCAACATATAAATGTATCCGATCAACCCACTGCACACCTTACCCCTACACAATGTTGTAAGTCAGTTATATGCCAATCAACCTGGATAAAATTGACTCCATTTTTTTAGACTTCTTTTTGCTTTTTTTTTAAATTGTTACTCTGTTACAACTATCCCACCACGTTCCCCCTTGCCCTCCTCCTCTCAGGACTCCCCCCTCTCCCAACAGTCTGATGTAGGGAACACCTACAGCAGGCCAAATGCAATGAACTCTCACAACAACAAGTGTTGGAGAGTTTGTGAGTCTCTGTACCTGTGTATTCCTTTATCTACTATCTGTGTGTCTGTGTATCTGTGTGTCAGTCTCTCTCTCTCTTTATCTCTTTACCTGTTTATGTATCATCTACCTCCCTTTCTATCCATCCATCTTTCTCCTTCTGTCAGTTATCACTCTGGCCTCCAGTTCTGAAAGAATGTAAAAGTTCTGTCATGTGAAGCAATGCAGTTAATTGTAATTTATTATAACAATTTTACCAAGCTCTCTTTCCTTCTCTTTCCCTTCCTTTCCTTTTTCTTCTCTTTTCATCTCTCTCTCTCTCTCTCTCTCTCTCTCTCTCTTTCTCTCTCTCTCTCCCTTCCCTCTCTCTCTCCCCCTCCCTTCCTCCTATCCTCCCCCCTTCTCTTCATAGAGAAAGGAGGGACACGGTTTTCATTCATACAGAACAAATGACTTCATCTAAAACAAAACCTTGCAAGCTTTCTTCTCTTCTAAAAATGCAGAATCAAATGGTCTGGTTAACTGTTTTTGTTTTTTGTAGCAGACTACAAAATATGCACATGGTACTAGATCTAATAAATATGAAGTAGGAGACAAACGTCATATTTCTTCTGAAAATAGTTTCATATCATTAACCATTTCATATGTTAGCTTGGCCCAGAAGTATTGAATATTATAAACAGAATAGTGGCTATGACTTTCAAATGGTAGCAAGCTATGTAAATCAATATGTGATTGTAGAGTTTAGGAAAACTAAGTGTAACACTTTAAACGTGGGGTGTTGAGCAATGTGACTCAGGTCAGCCCCTCTGCAACTGCTATTTTTAGGGTGAGAAGAGCTGGTCCTCTTCCTGTGTGAGAGTCACCTGGTGCCCTGTACAGACTGTGGTGTGGGGACCCTGCCCTCCATATCCTGTCATTTTGTCCCTTGAGCTTCACTTTAACAACAAAATAAGAAATCATCAAGAGTTCTGCTATAATATGTCCACAGAGACCTTACCCCTCTTCCTAATGGAAGAAGAACATGAACCTGATATTACAAAGTAAATTCACAATACTCATCACAGAATCCCCAAGTGAGGATGGCTCATCTACTGTCCAGAGGTTGTGCTTACCAAGACGGAGTCCAGCCTTGACCAGGAATGTGCACATGTATCTAGGAAGTTTTGCTTAAAACTATGGGCCGCCTGCGTCTCCTCTGATTCTGTCCTATTTTAAATGTGAATTCCAAGAGGTGGTGTAGAATTCAGCACTGCCTTGTGGACAGCTCCACACCCATCAAACACACCTTGCTCTCTCCTTTCTGCTGTTTCTTTATGTCAATATTTTATCATGGTTTTATTACAGTGGTAGCAAGTTATGCCCCTTGGCCCTCCTCCACCCATCCCACCCCCTACTCCCATACCCATCCCACTCCTATACTCTTCCCACTCCCATGAGAATATACCTAAGAATCCTGAATCTCCAATTCAGAGGAAATTATGCACTCCTATGTTCCTAGCAGCACTATTTATAATAGCCAAGTGCTGAAAACAGCCCAAGTGCCCACCAGTAAATGAGTGGACCAAGTAAGTGAAACATTTACACAATGGAATAGTACACAGAAGAAAGAAAGAGGAAGGAAGGAAGGAAGGAAGGAAGGAAGGAAGGAACTCCTACTTTTCACAACAGCACAAATGGACCTGGAGAATATTATGCTGAGTGAAATAAGCCAGCTGGTGAAAGACAAAACCATATGATCTCACCTATAAGAGGAATCTAATGAGCAAAATCAACTAATGAAGAAAATAGAATCTCTGGCATGGGAACATAGAACAGACTGACAGTGACCAGAGGGGAGAGAGAAGAAAAATAATAGTAGAAAAAGAGGAAAGAACTAGACCCACAGACTTGGACAACAGTGTACCAACTGACTGGGGGCAGGGTGGTGGGATGAGAGGAGTGGGGAAAAGGGGGAAACTTGGGACAACAGTAATAGAATAACAATAAAAATGATTTTTAAAAAGTTTCCCATGAAGAAAAAAAAAGAGATTTTCTACATCTTTTACTTAAAAAAAGTAATTGACTTACTCTTCAATCTATTGTGAATCTAGAATTAATTTTGTCTGTGATTTAAAGTCAGTGTGAAGTTAACCTCCTTTTGTCAGCTCCCCTAGCTGGCCCAGCACCCGTAATGGAAAGACCAGGGTCTGCCCACTGCACTGTGAGGGTTTCTGTCATGATCACATGACCCTGCACTGTGGTCTGAGTCTGTTCCTTCCTTCTGCTCCATTAGACGAGGTATCTCTGCTTTTCAGTTTCTCAAACCTCCAATGTCTCCACCCAAATCTGCGTGTCTGGTTTCCTCTCCCCCATATCTCAAGCAGGGTGAATTCTGACCACATTTGTCGTGGTTGGGTTAGTATCACAGGGCTCTGAGTGAGAGAAGTGAGAGTAGCGGAGGAAGCAGGCTGCTCAAGGGTCCTTCAGCCATTCAGGATGTGGTATTGCAGCAACAAACATTTAAAGTGTGGGGAGGTGTTGTTCTGCCTCTACCAGAGCTCCCAAGAATAATTTTTTCCTGAATCCTCAACAACGCCCAAAGTTTGAATAGGAGAGTGTCACCCAGCATCAAAGTTGCTCTGGGGAGGAAGAAAGGACCCAAACAACTTACCCCAAGGAGATGGAGAGAGAGAGAGTCCACGTCTTACAGAAGAAACACTGAGTCAGGTGGAAACAGACACAGCCCTTGTGTTCCAGGGCCAGGAGGGAGCACTGAGCTCTCCTGTAGGAACAGAATGTTTGCACAGACCCTAGAGTCATCCCTGGCCCTCCCCCTGGCTCTCTGTCATGAGGACTCCTTGGGGTCTGCAGTCACTGAGGCAGAGAGGGAAGGTCACCCTTCATGTCCCCACGGCAATGGTCACATTTACCTCCTGCCTGGGTTCTGAGCTCTAAGTCCTCACTCTCTTTGGCAGTTCACCTGCTACCTCAGTCTTTCAAACCCTTTCAGAATCTGTCCATTTCTGCTCAAAATTCTTCCATGGTTCTCACTATTTTGGGGTAAATTTAGACTCTTTCTTCTGAACTAACAGCTGCCCATGATCATCCACATGTGACCCTCCATCCTCAGCTCCCACTTCTGCTTCCTTCAACCAGACAGGTGCAGTTACTCTGTGAACACACAGTCATACACACACTCACACATATACACTCATGTACATATACACTTACATGGACACATTCACACCACCTCCTCTGGACCATTTGTTCTCCTCCATCTTTGCTTTCTTAGAGTTCTATAGAACTAGCAAATTCCTTCCCCAGCCCCCAGCTAAAAGCACAGGATTAGAAGCAACACTGAGATTTCTTCTCCTCATTTCTCTTTTCTACATGTGTTGTGGCAGCTAAAGCATATGCATGAATTGTGT